TTATTATTTATATTTTATTTTTATTTTGCGTGGACTTAAGCCCGGATTTTATTTAAACCGAGCTTATGTTCGAACCCGACCCGGAGCCGCGACTCGCACGCCCAACCCGCGTGATGAAGATCGTGTATCTGGCTCAACTCATTTTGCTTCGAAAGTTGCTTTGCCACGGCTTCCTTCTCGGCGATAGGTGTGGACGACTCGAATTTCTCCTTATCTTCTCACGATAGGTGAGACAGCTCGGACGTGAATCCTTGCCAAACTCGTCTTGTTCGAACTATGCGGTGAAACGCCCTTTTCCACACAAGGATTTTGTACTAAAACTCAAAAGAATTCTAACACAAGAAATTGGTGACCAAAGGTCGATTTTTCATTAATTCATTCCTTGTTAAATTGAATGAGTACATAGGTATTTATAAGAAAACCTAGATCTAGTCCTATAAGAGCTATAATTCTAACTAGGAAATAATATCTAGTCCTAAGGTAATTAAATGTCTTGCATATCAAGACTTAACAAATAAATAAAATACTAATCCCTAACAATCTAAATCTCACGGCACTAATAAATTTACTAAACTAATAAATAAATCTAACGCCTAAACTAACAAAATATATATATATACTAACACTATTACTAACCTAATAACTTACGCCACTAACTAACTAACAAATGTAATAATTAATCTAATTAACTAAATAATTAATTAATTAAACTAACTAAACTAAATAATAAGCATCTTCTAGAATCTTTGCTTCTCGGCTCGCACGGCTCGCCTCGTGTCTTTGCGCATCACGCCCATGTACGCCCTCGCGTGCTTGGTCACGCGCTATTCCTCGCCTCACGAGGCTTCTCGAACCTTCTCGTGCGCGTGTCTCATACAGGGTCTCATCCAGTCCTCGTCGTCGACTTGCAGGGTTTCCTTGTCTTAGCCATGCGCGTCCTGAACTCGTACGATAAGCCCGAAGCCATGCGTGTGTCCACGACTCACGTCGCCTTTCTCGTGAACTTCGCATACGGGCTCGTACCCGTCTCTTAGGCCATGCATGCGTGGTTTTGGCCCTTTTCTCGGCCTTCCCGGATCGTATCCGCCATCGGCTCTCGGCGTGCTCGAGCCTCGAAAGCCACTTCCGCATCATTCCTCCCTCCTTCAAATGAGTCATTGTCCTCAAGGACTCGCCAATGACCATCACTTGGGGCGTCTCCACCTCTTCATCTTCCTCCATGTGCGCGACTTCATCTTCGATTACGACCAAAATCTCCTCCTCGTCCAAAAACTTTTTTGCCTCGTTGATCTCCGTTCGTATTTGAAG